ATTACAGCACCTGGTATTCTAAAGCGTTTTCCCATCTAGGTACTGACTAGGTTCGACGTTGCTTAACTTTGGTGATCATACGAGAACCGGTGTTTCAACGTGATATGGCCGTAAGGCACTGGTCTCTGCAGGAAAAATATTATACAAAAGGTGATGACAGCAGAACGGCTTCTAAATATTCTAAAACGCTGAGGTTGTCAGAAGGACACTTCTAAGATTTTTCTAACATTGTGTGAAAGAATAGATCTTTCATCTTATCTAACACTAACGTTCGTGGAGAAGAACTGTCTGGTTACATTTAATGCCTCGTAAACCAAGCTAGTTATATTTCATCATCGCTGATCGGACACTGTCACGATAAAATGATATTAACTAAGGGAGGTCCGTGCCTTGAGCGACTCTAGGCCCATAAACTCACCACATACCTCAATTGGAACTCGTGAATACGAATAATCGCTAAAAATGCTATAAAAATCGACGGTTTCTTTTCCAGTGATCTCTTGTGAAAACAGGCTCAGGATATGCCATATTTTCGAAGAAGCTGCCAATCGTCGCCTTCCAGTTTTGATAGAGTCCAAAAGCCTCCCCGCGTCCTTGTAGGTGACAGATTATTAACCTCTTTCTCGCAGACGAAATATTGCAAGGTTCTTGCTGCTCTATCACTACTTCCGTGGAAAGTGCACAGACGAACTACATTCCTTCGTTCCACTAGTTTTTAAGAACTGCCATGCTTCGCATATTGCACCGGACCAACTTCATTCCCTTCGTATTCCGCTGGTGAGAAGTGTGTTTCACTCGTGTAGCATCTTCCCGCCAACCGCTGCTCTATGTACGGCCAGAAGTGTGTTTTCCCGATCACTACAATCTTAACCTGTTCAAGTCTAAGTTTAACCGGTATCTTCCACACAGATCCGCATAAACTGTACCTCTCACTCTGTAACACTCTTCTTGTAAACGTCACTGTAAAAAAAAAAAATAAAGAAAGAAAAGATTATGTCACTATCTAATACTTCTGGAGGTATAGTCAATTCGAAATGCAATTTGAAATTCAGGTTCTATTTAGAGATTGTATTTTATCGATTGAATAGGCGCATCTTGTAAATTCATCTTCTTATATCCAAAGAACTTAATTTTCTCATATTTTATATTGTTATTTTTTTTTATAAAGCAGCAAAGCTGTATTTTTCATTTCAGATACAACGGAATATTTCCTTTATATCATCTTTGGAAATAATACTCGATTAGATTAGCATGCTAACCAATGAGCTAAGGAGAAGCTTGTTTTTACTGGTCTGAATTTAAGACGATAAAAAAAGAATACAGTTATATGGCAACTAGTGAGGATTAAACTTAATGTTTTGTACGCTGTGCTCTATCTGAAAGCAGTGACAACCAGGAATATTGTAGTAATTTATTAGCTAGAAATTGATATATATATATATATATATATATATATATATATATATATATATATATATATATATTAATTTAATTTTTAATAAACAGTGGCCGGTCACAACTAAAAGTATCATGTTTGTCACGCAGTCAACAGGCGGTCGTATCTGCCAGTTAACATGGCATTGAGAACACTTTTCTCCGGTGTCCTTCTATAATAGAGTCTCCTATGTGGCTCTTTATTTTATTCTGATAACTATCTATCTATATATATATATATATATATATATATATATATATATATATATATATATATATATATATATAAGTAATGAAAAGTTTGGTAATCTGTATGGATAATCCCAAGGAGGATATAATTCAGAGAGCTAAATGTCATGTTTTTTTCACACTTGGAAATGCGGTCTGATGTCCAGCTAAAAATCAATCACCTGGGGAAATAAATTATAACCAATGTACACTTAAGCTTGTCTGTTTTCTATTTAAATTAATATATATATATATATATATATATATATATATATAATTGACTCTCCGGTCGAGATTCGACGTATGAGGGTCAAGCAGATCAGTTTCCAGGAAACCGACAGCCCGACACCGGCACATGAGATTTGATTATAGTGGTGAAGGTTTCGTGCAGGACCATCCACACTTTTTGAAGGAACGAATTCAGAGACCTGGTGCACTACGTGCTACAAGGTTCCCAAACGACCCTCCGCAGGTTTTGAATTCAGAGTTGTCCTTCTCCTAGACTAGTTGCCATCCAGTCTGTCCTGCTATTTTACCCATAGCTGGAGGGAGAAGAAGAGGATGCATTAGCACGTAAGTGAATGTAATGGATTCGACTATATATATATATATATATATATATATATATATATATATATACATTAAGAATTGGACAAAGTCCAACAATTTATTAAAGACATTTTTATGTTTAACATTCTTTTTATAGATACAAGTATTTAAGTAAATGCTCTGTTTATAATAAACAGTATTAAATAACATTTACCGGCCTGAATGTCTGAGAAATTTTCATAGAAAATATTCGTCCTTTGACAGGATTCGAACCTGCATCCTATACAGAACCGTCATTTACGCTGACGTGCCTTAACCGACTCGGCCACAAAGGAGCGTTCGGTAGGCAAGGTCGAATTCTTAATGTATGACGTCATTTGTTTTCTATGTACGAGATTCGTGGAAGATTGAAGTTTATAAGAAGTAAATTCGACCTTGCCTACCGAACGCTCCTTTAAAAATGTCTTTAATATATATATATATATATATATAGTCGAATCATATATATATGTGTGATTGCACCGCAATAAAAATAATTTTAATTTAGGATCTACTTGTGTATTGAGCATTTTAAGAAAAAATAAAAACAAAAATACTAAAGAAATTATTAACCTAACGGTTCTTTCCTATATATTTGCACACACGCACACACACGCGCGCGCGCACACACACACACACACACATATATATATATATGTGTGTGTGTTTAAAATCTTACTCTACCACTAATGATAATAGACCTGTCCAACGCATTTACAGCGATCAAAAATTTAATTATATTTCATTTTCATAAAATTTTCGCACAGCGAGGATTCAGACAGAGATCGGGTTTTATGCTAAGAATATGATTCCCAACAGAAAATACACAGTCTACAAAAACATCGGTCGATGAGTAATTCCCGTTTCTCTGAAGGACAAGGGCTTGTACAAAAATTCTGATCTAACAACTTTCTTTCCGTGCTTCATTTCTGTCATTAGGTTAATAATTAATAAAAGTTTATCGTACTGATTATATTAGTACCCTTTTTAGGGTTAAGGTTATTTTATTTTATTTTTTTTTATTTCATATATATATATATATATCAGGACGCTCAATTAGAAAAACAAACCTAATTTTTATAATAACACATAAAATACATCTTAAACAGTCAAATATGATGAGAAATTACCAGCATATCAAAACAAACGGTATTGTAAATTTCTAAATAATTGGCGAAATCGCTTAGGACAATGGAAAATATGCCCAATTCTGCATTTCCTTATCCCACCAAAGGAAAAAGAGTAAGAATGTTGGAGAAACTAAATTAAAAAACATAATCAATTCAAACTTCAGTGGTATATTCAACTAAACATATTTAAAAGAAAGGTTACTGGCCTAACAAACATACATACATACATACATACATACATACATACATACATACAAAATATATATATATATATATATATATATATATATATATATATATATATATATTGTTATGGGGGTCCTCCCCTTTTTCATATAAGTGGACTCTACCAAAATGTTACTTGGACTGCTGCCGTTAACTACCCAGAGTCAGTCAGTATACGGGATTTTGAGATAGTAAGAAGACTGAGATTGTGATTGTGTTGGAGGGAGAGTAATAGTGTGAGGTAACCGCTTGTATAAGTCAGTTACAAGCCCGCTGACTCTAAGGAAGTCCTACTTCGAGACTATATATATATATATATATATGTGTGTGTGTGTGTGTGTGTGTGTGTGTGTGTGTGTGTGTGTATTATTGCTACTAACCGCGTTCCTGGATTTACTAACAGTATTACCCTTTGTATTATTGTGTAAATACATTTTATTTCTTATATTTAATTCTTGCGTTTGTCATTCATTGGAGACCGAATTTTATCTCGGAATCCACAACAAATTGGCGACGAAGATTCGAACCCAAGCGGAAAAGAAAAAAATCAACAAAAGAAAAAAAAAAGCTCACACGAAAAGAAGAAATAGAAAAATCCTTCCCTCGTCGTCCTCAACAAATTAGCGACAAAAAGTTACGAGGAGTAAAAATACGTAAAATTGAGTTATCATGGAAGATTTTAAAAATATTTTGGTAAAACTGATAAAATACCAAAATGATCAACAATTACAACTACAAGAACGAATGGAAGAAAAATGGCAAAAGCAATTAGAAAGACAAATAGAGCTCCAGGAACTAATATTGAAAGAAGCGCGCAACAAGCAATTAGATATTGAAAAAGAAGCAACATTTTCGCAAGACGCTGTGTAGAATACCATAGAGATTTTCCAATATTCTCTAGATGAGGACAAAAATTTTGGAGATTACTTCAGAAGACATGAAAATATCTTTAACATAGTCTGTCAAAATTGGATAGAAGCAAAAAAAGCTACGTATATTGCTTAGAAAATTAGGAACTGAAGAATATACAAAGTTTGTGGATTATATCTTGCCAAAAAAGACGAACGAATTAACATTTGACTAAGCAGTGACATGTCTTAAAGAACTCTTCAGCCCCAAAACATCACTCTTCCTCAGGAGGTGGAAATGCCTTAACCTGGTAAAAGGCGATAATGAGGATTATTCCACGTTTGCCGCAATCGTAAATAAACATTGTGACGACTTCAAACTAGCGGAATTAACCCCGGACAATTTCAAATATCTCATCTTTGTTCAAGGGTTAGTTTCTAAAAAAGATAGTGAAATGCGCAGAAGAATGCTTGCAAAATTACAAAATGTACCGTGTCTAACATTACAGCAATTATCGGAAGATTGCCAGAGATATCTAAGTCTAAAGAAAGACGCAAAAAACATTGCAGAATCAGCTGTTTCTCATATACGTAAGTCAAACAAGTCTACATTCTTCACCCTCCCCTGAAAGAAAACTAAAATTTTACGACAATGAAAAAA